TTTTTTACGGGGTGGAGTTGCTAGCCCCATGCCCAACCCTCCTCCTTTATCCTGACTTGGGACAGGCAGATGGCCACAAAGGACCTCTCTGGTGGAGTTTTAGTCACAGGTATTTTTTAGTAAAAGTCATGGACAGGTCACGGGCAGTAAACAAAAATTCATGGTCTGTGACCTATCCATGACTTGTACTATATACCCCGGACTAAATCTTGAGTGATTTGGGGCAGCGGGTGGCCCGGGGGTGCTGTGGATGCTCTTGGGGGGGATGGCCTGGGGGCACCACAGGTGCTTGGGGGGGCAGCAGCACGCAGCCCGAGACCCCCACTGATGCGGGGGGGGGGGGCAGCGGCCCACGGCCCGGGACCCCCACTGGTGCTTGGGAGAGCAAGTGTCAATGTGCGGCCCAGGACCCCCGCTGGTACTGGGTGGGGGCCGCAGTGGACCAAGACTGCCCCAGCAGCGGCCAGTGTGGTTGGCCCCATGCCAGATGCACTGGCTGCTGCAGAAGTCTCAGAGGTACCAGAAAGTCACGGAATGCATGACCTCTGTGACAGACTTGCAGCCTTACTAATAAATACAAATGTAACAGTTGCAGTATCTAGCACTATTAGTCTAGTGTTTTATGAACATAAATTTATCCACACAGTAGATCTGTGAGGCAGACAAATCTTATCTTTATGTTACAGATGGGAAAACTGAAGAAGAAAGAGAGGCAGGATTGAGAAACGTAAAATTCCTGGCTCCCATCTCATGGTCTCAGATCCACAGCTTGTCGCTTACTCCTTTTGAGACTAAAATTAAAATAAAAATTCACAATACCACTTCCAGAGATACTAATTCACAAGATAATTGTAATTTATCCCCATTTTGACCCTTATTAAGAAATCCATGGTATTTTGGTACTTTGACCCACACAGACACCAGTCTACCCATTCCTTATTCGGTATAGACATCTACCTATTGCTCTTTACTTTACTCTAAATATTTAGACCCCAGACTCCACCCTCCCCCATCCCAACTAGTCTCTCCGATCAATAAACCTTGTAAATTGTCCAAGTATAGAGTTCAGCAACAACACTTCCTTCCCACATCCACCTGCTTACCCATTATTCCAATATTATAAAAATTATCTTTCTCAAACCTAGCCAAATATGTTGGCTATTCATCCTTCCTTTGTGAGTCAGAGACCCCACTTTCCAGATGCCAATCACATATTCGGTTTATCCCAATCCACTTTATGTTTACTTGCTATAGGCCCCAGAATACTTTGCTCAACACAGCCTAATACATTACTTAGTTACCAAAGAAAAGAGAGTTCACTTACCTGCAGAATGTATTGAATTTCTAATTCCATTTTTGAAATTGTGGTTGTTATAAGTATACTACTATCTGTTATATAGATGGCGGGCAGCTATACAGAGTTAAGGTGGTTTCTGAAATATGCAATGTAACATTTTCCAATTTAAAGTCAGCACTAGAACGCAAGTCCTTGGCTCTAAAATCCTTGAATTAAAGGAAAGTCTTTGTTTTGGTGAAATATAGGTGAATCCTTATGTTCTTTCTAAGCTGCAGCCAACAATCAAAGGGTAGATTGCACTCTCTCACACACATTATAAACAATTATTTACAACAATCATTAACTATTTACAGTCTGTTTTCTTCAAATATAGCCTATCCATTGGTTTTCAAGGAAGGGGACAGAAGGTCCAGGAATTGTCACAGTTCACCTTGAAGAGATTCTTTCCAATACTTCCCTCAGTGAAAGAGGGTTTGGAAAGGTAATGGGGGCTCTAAAGATATAGAGCATTGGTGATCAAGAAAGACAAAAATGTTCCTACCTTTGTAGCTCCTGAGACGTCTACATTGATTTAACCCCATCCCCATTCTTCCCTAGCAGCACAGCTCCCTCACAACCAATGGTTGTATTATTCCTCTTTCCCTGCCCCACCATGCTTTTCTGTCTAAATTTAATTGAATTAAATTAAGGGATTTAGGTGACTAAATCCCTTAAATTTAGTGCCTCCATTTCCCTATCTGTAAAATGGGTTTAATAATCCTTGTACATTTATAATTCTTCCCCCCTCCCCCTCCAAAGATACATCACTTAATATTCAATACTAAACCTTAAACTTAAAACATTTTTGTTAAGTAGGGAAGTTTTATCATCTTTTTACAAGATTAAGCCATTGAAGCAGAAAGAGAAATCCCTTGCCCTAGGTCACCCAGGAGGTCAGTGCAGAGCTGGGAATGTGCTCCAGCCATTCCACACTCTCCTTGCTGTATATACTAGCGAGCCTGCCATAATTCCTCTTTCACTACAAGTTTGAATAGTCTAAAATTTGCATTACAGTATATCTTACCATATAAGCATAAGCACCAAAATATTATTTAATATTAGTTTATCTGCACTGCTTTTTATAATTAATTATTTTCAGTCTTCTAAGAGACTGTTAATTGAAATTAAAGTGTAAAACTAGTTTTTAACTATGGTATTTGACAGTGGTTTTTCATATCTACACATTCTTTTCAAGAAGTTTGGCAACTACCAAAAATCAGTGTTCTAACAGGAACTACACCTCTACCTCGATATAACGTGACCCGATATAACACGAATTCGGATATAACATGGTAAAGCAGTGCTCCGGGAGGGCGGGGCTGCGTCCTCCGGTGGATCAAAGCAAGTTCAATACAATGCGGTTTCACCTATAATGCGGTAAGATTTTTTGGCTCATGAGGACAGTGTTATATCGAGGTAGAGGTGTAGCTAATCAGGACAGGTGGAAGGTTGATAGTTGAATATGGAGGATTTGATATTTGGAGACCCTACTCATTCAATAATATTTGGATTCTAGAAAAAAAAAAAAAAAAGTAAAATGATTGAATACAGAAGGAAGAATGAGGGAAAAGCCACATTACAAGAGCAGGCAAGTAGGGAAGTGAGGTTTGTTTGTGTTTTTAAAGTTGTTTTCTGTATGGATGCTCATACCCTTTCAGGAGATAGTCATGTAAGAGACTGGACATAAATAGTAATGGCAAGAAGATGGATGGTATGAATAGAAAATAAGAGAACTGAAGTTTTTTCAGTGTCAGACAAGATGATTCAAGCATCACAGTCACCAAACATGCAGTCAGGATGAAAAGAGGATATATATATTTTGGGTGTGGAGCTTGACAGTAGCAAAGTCCTCTTCCAACACCAACACCAACAAACTGTTTCCAGCCATGCCAGCACCCAGAGCACTTGAGGCATGACTATAAAATGACTGTCACGTAACAGCCTAAATCCAGTCACTTTGGTGCAGAATCCAGCACCACTGAAGTCACCGGGCCTGGGACCAAGCTCACACTGGATAATGTAATAGAGGTATCTAAAATAATGACTGGTATAGAGAAGATAAATCAGTCTTCCCTATTTACCCTCTTTCCTATAATAGAAGAGCAAAGGGATGCCCAGTGAAATTAAAAGGCAACAATACAACTTTTTTTAATCCACACAGCTAACCTGTACAGCAAGAGTTGTCCATTGACCATAAGGATTTTACATCATTCTCTGAAATATGAAGTCTTGGCCACTGTCAGAAACATGATATGGGACTAAATGGGACCATTGATCTCATCTGGTATAACAATTCCTAGCTTTCCTGTGAATAGTCTTATGAGATTTGAAAGTTTCCCCGTTCACCCTTGCGTGTGTATGCTATGCCTAACATCCAGCTTCAAAACATTTTCCAATTGCTATTTGAAGACATTTGGCTCAGCAACTGGAGTTGATATTGATATTCTTCCACAAGTTTGATTCACCATCTCTACAGACTATCAACTACACAAACAATGGACTGCAAATAGATTACCACTGGATTCTGAAATGGAACAATAAGACATTTAATTATTATGCTACGCTTCTAGTTGTTTATTCTCTTCTCTGGTAAATCTCTAGACCAAATTGTGATTGGTGGGGATAGGAGAAATGGAGAAACCACAGATGCACACAGACAGAGCTTACCAGTATGTAACAGACTTAGGTTCCATCCACACTACATGTAGAACTACATCACTGGGAGGGTGGGGGGAGGAGGAGCGGTACTCTAGTTCCAATACAGTTGTCTGCTGACACAGTTAAAGCACATTTCCTTATTTGTAGCATCGATGTGACCTTATGTGCTTCCAAAACATCCCTGAATTGTGTTAAAGTCTTGGACAGATCCAAAGCTTTAGCATGATTCAAGAACACTGTTAAGGTCTCATATGTGTTGCAACATGGGCTCCTGACACGGTTCTGGTTATCATGCAGATGATATCATAGGTGAATTAAACATCACTGAAGCCAACCCATTTATGCAATTCAGTATCATCTGGATGACATTTGTGTATAATCAAACCAGGGAGGCCAAGTAGCAGAGCACTTCTTACCTGCATTTAAGAGAGAGTAGGCTTTTCATGGACATGGATGCTGAAAGTGTTTGTGAACACCACTTTGAAGATGGAGAGTATGTCACTTTCCAATAGTGGGTAATAATGTTCCTTCCAAAGTCAAATTGTGACTAAAGTTCACTACAAGAAGTGCAAAGGTAAGATAATCCATCTCTCTATGCAAACCAAGGAGAAAAAATTGATCTGTGGTTAAGGCACAGGACTGGGAGTTTGGGGACCAGGATTGTATTTCCCAGCTCTCCTGGAGCCTCTCTGCAGGACACTGGGCAAATCACTTACCCTGTCTGTACTTCAGTTTTCTCATATGAAAACTGGGAGGAATAACTACCTACCTATCTCATGATGGTGCTGAGGCTAAACTAGGGTTGCCAACTTTCTAATCACACAAAACCGAAACCCTAGCCACTCCCCTTCCCTGAGGCCCTGCCCCTCGCTCACTACATTTCCCCTCCCTCGGTGGCTCGCTCTCCTGCACCCTCTCTCACTTTCACTGGGGCAGGGGGTTGGGGTGTGAGAGGGGGTGAGGGCTCTAACTGGGGGTGTGGGCTTCAGGGTGGGGCCAGAAATTGGGGGTTCAGGGTGTGGGAGGGGGCTCCAGCCTGGGGGCTGGGGCTGAGGGATTCAGAATGTGGGAGGGGGTATGGGCTCTGGGCTGGGGGTGTGGGGTTTGGGGTGCAGAAGGGGCTCTGGGTTTGGGGGGGTCTCAAGGGTGAGGCAGAAGGTTGGGGCATGGGCTTACCTCGGGCAGCTCCTGGTCAGCGGCGCAATGGGGCTAAGCAGGCTCCCTGCCTGTCCAGGCTCTGTGCTGCACCCCAGAAGCGTACAGCAGGTCCAGGTCCTACGCAGGGATGGGGGGCTCAGGAGGCGCTACACGCTGCTTTTGCCTGCAGGCTCCGCCCCCCAGCTCCCATTGGCTGTGGTTCCCAGCCAATGGGAGTGCGGTGCCGGTGTTTGGGGCAGGGGCAGCGCAGGGAGCCCCGTGGCCCCCCTGCCTAGAATCTGGACCTCCTGGCCACTTCCAGGGTGCAGCACGGTGCCAGGACAGATAGGGACTAGCTTGCCTTAGCCCTGCAGCACTGCTGACCGGACTTTTAACGGCCCGGTCAGCAGTGCTGACCAGAGCCGCCAGGGTCCTTTTTCAACTGGGCAACCCTAGGCTAAACTAATACAGATTTGTAAAATCTTTTCAAATGCTTGTGTTGAAGATGCTTTAAAAAAAAAGGAACGAATTAAAGAGGCCCAGTACCATGAAGATGGATAAGATATATCAGTTACTTTAGTAACATGCATGTTACCAGATTGCCAAAACTCAGCAACAGAGCTAGGCCCAACCACTTAGCAAGAGTTTCTTGTTCCCCACAAAGAAAGAGGGAAGAGTCCATTATTGAGAACATTCACATCACTCTTCAGCAGCCACTCTACTGATAAGCATTGGCAGGCTCAGAGAGAACTGCATCCAGTGCTCCTCAGATGGTCATTAGGATAGAATCATAGGACTGGAAGGGATCTCGAGTGGTCTTCTAGTCTAGTCCCCTGCACTCATGGCCGGACTAAGTATTGTCTAGACCAGCTCTGATGGATGTTTGTCTAACCTGCTCTTAAAAATCTCCAATGATGGAGATTCCACAACCTCCCTAGGCAACTTATTCCAGTGCTTAACTCCTTGACAGCTAGGA